TATAAATGAGGATCTGACTAAATGAATCAGGACGTTAAATGATAAAGTTCCGTCCATTTAAACAAATAAATAATTATTTACAATCTTTGGCAAAACAAAATGAAATTTCATTGATCTCACTCTCACACACACTTGCAAGGAAAAAAAAAAGAAAAAATTTTAAAAACATCATAAATAATTTACATAGAATAGGAAAATTATGATACAGTCCAAATATTAACATCTTCATCCCCACACTGATGTCTCTCTCTGACAAAACAGAAAACCCTACACAGCCATTACAATCACTACATTTAATGAAGTCACCCTCCTTTCTGCTTGGGACTTGGGGATACAATTTGAAACACCAAAAGTAAGAAACTGAAACACATAAAAACCTCATGAAGAAGATTTGGGGGAAAAAAAAAAAAAGAAAAAAGACAACAAATGAAAATTGGAAAAACCCCCAAAAACCCAACAACAACAAAAAAAGATTTGATAATATGAACACTATAAAATGTGCAATAAAGCCAGCAACTGTGGATTCCTTTCTAATGAACATAGCAATAAAATCTATTTCATGGGAGAAAACGTTGATTCAACATTTAGCCCACTGTGCCTTGTAAGAAGGCAGAGGTACTGCATTATTCCATTATTTAACCCATCTATGAATAAAATTACACCAGCGTGTGGTTTTTTTCATGAACAAAGCTCATACAACTTAAACAAAACAAAAAAAATGTTAAGCATGTTTATACTATTGTATATCGGAGTAACTGTCGTATCTGTTTAGAATAAACACTGGTATCCCTTCAGCATTATTTAAGAAGTTCTATATACAGCAGACATAGGTAACAATACAAAATATTAAAATTAGGGTAAATGGATATATATTAAGGTTCCATTTATAAATTCCTTATTATTATTCATTTAACTTTAAAGCATACATGACTATAACCCATGAAACTATACTTAAGTGTATACCATGCGTTGACAATATCTACATATTGTGATATGCTTTTAAAATAGCTTTAAAATACTAGTATTTGTGAATGTATTACTGATGCATTATATGACATGCTTTAAAATAAATTATGAGAGAAGGTAGCTTGGTATGATAATCATAATAAATACTAACAAAATATTTATAAATGGAACCTTAAATTCTTATGTTACCAAATTAATAGTGGCGTTGCCACCTTTTCAAAAACCCACATCAGGATTCAGGATGCCAAAGTGCTTTTCGCAGCAGAGGTGGGAAAGTGGTTCAGGTTCATTTTGCTCCACGTGGTCATGGTATATTCTTTATTACAAGAGAACAAAAAATATGATGGAAATGGAACAAATGGAAAAAAAATTCTGAAGGTCAGGCAATAGTGATAGCTTTGGATGTTTGAATCAATCACTCTTCCCTTTCTCATGGGAGTTTCTAGAATTCAGTTTGGCCTGAATTAAGTCTCTACTAGACAATGCTTTAGGTTGCAAATTTGACATTTCTGCCAACTTGAATTTTAATTGGTGTTATTAAAAGCATCCTCATCAGCTAAAGAACATCTTTTTGGATCAATAAATGTGACCTTTACTTTATTATTCAAAGGCATTTGCATTGTTATTAAAGATACTATTGGTGTGGCCCTCTATTACTTTGCTTAAATTAGACCCAGAGGCTTTGTGTTACTGAAGTCCAGTCCTGATCAGAGCAAGGAAGTGTCAACCATACACCTAAACAGTTATTCAAACATATTTTTCCTCACTAGAGACAATGACTGATAATCATCGCCCCTCTCTTTTTCTCCATATATATATAAATACATTAAGTAATTACATTTTTCTATGTAAACGTCATTCCTTAAAAAAGACAAATAAACAAAACAAACAAACATGTTTTTGCTAAGTTTTCACTCTGCAAAAGTGTTCTAATGTATCAATCTGCTTTTGCTTCAGTGGTGGGTTGGACTCTCACATTCAGGCTTCATTAGTCCTGGCTGTGAGAAGGCACTTGGGTGGAGCGATGGCTGAGGCACTTCTAGCAGCAGGGAAGTACCTGTTGAGTGTGGAGTACAAGGAGGTACAGAGGACAGGAGGTACACAAAAATAGAAACTGGGAGTACCAGGATGTACTGAGGTGTCTAGGTTGCATAGCATTTACAGTACTTTGCTGGTAATGCAGCAACCATTGCTCAAGCATCTGAAAGAAATGGGAGAAAAAAGGTATGAATTGTGGTTATTTTATTTGGCTAGGAAGTCAATCACATAAGAACAGAACTCCATCATGATACAAGGATGCAGTCTAATTTTTCTTGTTCTACATTTTCCTACAAATGTGAGGACATTTATATAAAAATAGGTATCTGTCTATATAGACAGAGATACATATATATGTGCACTTATGTATCTAAATGTGTATAAAAATAATATATAAGAAAACCTGGGAAAGCATTTTCTGTATTTCAAAACTTTTTGGACAAGACATTATAGACAGACATGCTCATTAAAAATATCTGCTCTCTCTTTCATGCCCTTTGAAAGAGGGGTGATCCAGAAGCTCTCTGCCCGCAGGACACACTGGAATAGCCTACATAGGGAAGTGGATATACAGACACAATTCTAAGCACATATCTCACTCCAAGATTTCTATCTTATTTTTTCCAGGTGGGTAGTATTAAACATCTGGGACTTATTATTCAAATTGAGATTACTAGAGGGGCTAAGGGCATTCATGGTATTTCAACAAATCAAGGTTTACTACACACTATGCTACTACAGATTACTTTCAGTTACTAGTGGATACTTTTCCATATTTTGTGCTTGCTCCACAGGTTATCAAAGGCTTCAGCATTTTCCGGACATTTTCTGTAACTAACCTCTGCATTCATATTTGAGATCAGAGAAATAGACCATCTCTTGAGAGAAGACAAAAAGACCTAATCGTCCACCAGCAAAGGTTGTATCATATATCGGTCCAGAATCCACCATGACTTGTTTCCCTTCATACACTAAAACTCTGTAAAGAAGAACATGATTTAAATTAGACAAGGAGGATAATGCAGAGTCCAGTGCTAAAGCCTGGCAACAGTTCCCAAGAACTGAAACAGAATTAATTTTAACAAGGCACCAGACAACCCAACTTCATTGTAAGGATTGCTTCTCATCTCTATCTCACGCCCACCTGGCTGGCAGCCATAACACATTAATCAGAAGCAGTGGAGCTGTTCCATAAGTAATTTTATGCACACCATCTGCAAAACATTTCCCAATTCTTTATTTAGTGCAGTCATGTCTCCTGGAATGAACTATGTAATGTACCAGAGTTCATTGATAAGCCCCTGTCCCTGTGAACTCAGAGGTTTAGCAGAAGACCTTGCCACATCACTTAGCAAAGTTGTCTTTATAGTTGTGTGAACGGCTGATTTATTTCTCATTAGGTGCAAGGGCCAACATCAGAAATTGGAAGAACCATCCCCTTAGAGTTAAACAAAACATTAATTGGAGACATGCTGAGTCTCAATTTCAGATATTTTAAGAGTTTAATGAAAGCTGGAAGGATTTGGACACAAACAGCTAGACTAGTAAGAAACTGGAAAAGGAGAACTTGGGATTTTGATTTGGGTTTTTTTGAGGGGTGAGGATTTTTTTTAGTGTTTTGGCACCCACTCTAAAGCCAAAAGACCTCCAAAGATGTCTCTTCATTTTCCTTCTCAATCATATAGACTGCAGATCATTGAATTTGGATTCTCCACTTCTCATGGGAGACCTTGAGATAGTCAAGGCTCTTTGACTCTCAGTCTCTTAAAATAGCCTTTGGGCCAAATGAGAAATGACTCTATAGTCTTAATTAGAGCAGTCTCTGGAGGAAGGGATTATGGTCCTGCTTCAACTGACAATACATCAGTTATTAAAAGCAGGATGGCTTTACATGAGGATGAACACACTTGAGCAACTTCCTATAACTCAAGGGTTAGGGACAGATTGCTTCTTAGGCTGAAAGGCAAGTCCAGCACTTGCTATACCTTGAAGTGTTTTATTTTCTGAAAGGTGCCTGAAGACTAGTATGAAACTGCTTCTTGAAGACAGTATTTAATGGATGGTAAGAAGAACAGCAAAGAGAATGATAGGTTTTCATGTTCATGTAACCCTATTTAATGTAATTCTCAAAACTGCAATAACCCAAAACACATGGGAAGAGTTTAATAAAGTATTCATCTCACAAAAAAAAATAAAATATACAGCTCTAATCATGTTAATACTAAATTTCTATTTCTGTACAAATAAAATTATTTAATGACTATATTAGTGAAATTATTTCATTTATTTATTTACGACAAAAACACTAAAGAATGAAGGAATTTAATGCCCTGGACTATAGAATTTCTCATGCTAGATTAATCTAATGGGATACCAATTGAAACATGCTTTGTCTGACACTAAGTAGATTCTGCAAAGGAAGATACAGGTAACAGCAACATGAATGAAAACCTCAAGTTTCCTTTTGGCCTGGATCAGTCAGTACTTTGCACTGGAATACTTTGATGCATAAAGAAAATATTTTCTTTCCAAGAAACAGATAACTTGGGCTTTCCAAATTTTTCTACGCTTTGTCTTTCACAACCAAATAAAACTCCCCTGCTTATAAGCACAAACAAGAGCTTGAGAGGTAAGGTCAGGCTCTGTCCCATGAAAATGTCCTTTACAGTTACAGTAGTTAGTAGAAGATAAAATTGGCATAGACTGTTCATGCTCATTCTTTTGAGCATCACATAAACAGCTGGGCTCTAAGGAAAGTCACATGCCATAGCTCCATGTTGTGTGCATTACAGATGTGCTCATGCCTACTTCTGCAGTATCTCCTATAAGCCACTACGGGAGACAGGATGCTGAAGTAGACAGGCCGTTGGACTACTTCCCTGTGGCAATTCTGATGCTTCTAATTAATTTCATTCATTCAAATTCCAGAGGCTGGATAGGAATCTCATGTTCTAATCTTGCTTTGAGTTTTGCTCAGGAATTTTTGGTCCCTTTACAGAAGAGCTATTGAGAATATTATTTTTTCATACGAATATCCAACTGATGTAAATATTGAACTGTCAAGACTAAATTAAATACATCTGAAAAAGAAAATAACTGATTCTAAAGTTAACAAAATGTCCCCAAAATATTGGAACAAACTGTCACATAAGTATCATCATTATCAGAACTTACAAAGAAACTCATAACATAGCTTTTATATCAACAGAGTTTTGCTACTAGATAATATAGAAGTGCAGAAACATTTCTTACTTCATTAATCCTGTTTTAGGCCTATGAATCAAATGCCACCTGTAAGCAGTATAATCTTTCCAGCCAATGTTCTTGGGATCATGCCACAAAGTACGAACCTACAGTAGGAATATAAATGCCTTATTAGAAACAGACTGTGCTCCAATAACTGTACATCCACTATAGTAACTGTACATGCAGTCAGAGCGTATTTGCTGCAGAGTATGAAACTGAAAACAGGGATCAACATTTGATGGTATGATCAACAGACCTCTTTCACAGAGTGAAAGTAATAAAAGTTTCTGTCTTAAATTATTGATCAGTTACTCATCTGCAGTTTCATAGCTGGACTCACTGAAGACCATTACAGCACTGAACCTGACTTCCCTTAGGAAGTCTTGCCCCTGTTTTAACATATGCACTCATGCTGCCAGAGCTGATGCTACTTTTCCTATCTGTATGAGTTGCTCCACTGAAGGACTGCAGCTTGCACAGATGTTACTGCCTGTGGCCTGCTCTTTGAAATCTCTTGCACTTAGTCAAGGTCCTTTTCCTGCAAGGAGCAATAAAGTGCAAAATTCCTATCCACATGCAAAGCCCCACTAACTTCATTTCCAAAAGGCATACTGGGCCCTATTTGGAACAGCTGCAGTTTTTCTCTCTTTGTTTTCTTTTCTCTTTGGCTGTCACTGGTTACTGAACTCTAAACCACATATAATTCAAACAAGCTGGAATGTCGAAGCAGCAAGTGCAAATACAGAGGTCACAAAGGATTTGTGGATAACTGAGACCTCTCACTCCTCTTTTTGGACCACACCACATCTTCCTTTTTATACATGTGACTTTTTCCATTTATATTTTTTATACGTGTAATGTTTTCTTTGAAACACAATGCAAATGTTATTATCAACATTAGCAATATGGGAACAGAGGAAAAGTTGATAAACCTCTGCAAAAATTGAGGTGTGAAAGGAAATTCTTTTCAAGATACCTCCCTTCTTTTTAAAATATTACTCATGCCTCGCTTGTCTAAAGTTTTAAATCTCTCACCTGACCAGGGGTGTTTCCTGTGTGCCAGAGAGCATTTCTCAAGTGTTCACCAGTACCAGTTGTTGAATTCACTACTTTGAGTGACACACCAGAATAGCCATAAGCCCTGGTGGGTTTATCCTCCCAGTAGGTCTGAGTGACCTGCTTCCACATCAGAACGTAAAACCGACTGCTGGACTGGTAGCCAAAAACAAAGCCAGCATAGTCGTCATCACGATCTGTGTTAACGTAGAATGTCCCACTGAAGTCAACGGAGCTGAACTCATCGTAGCCTGGAGAGGACGAAAGAAAAACCACCTAGTTACAATGTTGGGACTATCTGTCCACACCCAACTGTCCCACCTATACCCTAAGTTTTGCTAGGAGTTGTATATGATCTTTTTCAGTTTTCTTACCTGTAGGAGTACAACAGTGAGGAGATGAATGGTCAACAAAGGCAAACAACATTGAACTGTTACTGGTTACTTTTCCAAAGACAATAGCTGACATCTGATACTCACCTACAGCTATTCCAGGATCAGAGTTGGCAGTCTGCACCAGTTCCTTCCCTTGGTGGCGAATAACCCAATTGGGATCAATCTGAGCTGTTCCCTTGGGGTCCAGCGGGACCATCTGGAATTTCCTGAAATCAGTTTCACTGATGGCATTGTTTTCAGGGCATACATCATAAATATCCGGGACATTGTCATTGTCAAAGTCATCTTTGCAAATATCCCCTCTGCCATCACCTATAAGCAATGTGAATAAGCAAATGCAATTGTTAGCAATTTATCCAGCCTTCCTAACAGCTCTCTCACTGACAGAAGAAATTTATGCCACATAGGATTCTCATTTCTCAAAGAACACTCCAAATGACTCCAAAGGAAGCTTCATTCTCTGAAAGTCCATTTGAATTGTTGCTGGTAATGACTGGAAGAAGTCATCAACTTAGATCTGGGCTAAAATTGTTAATAAAACTGTCCTGTCAGTGGTTCATGACAGTGATCGATCTGGCCCCAGATTATATGCTGCCTTAGAATCAGGGTGGGAAAAGTTGGAAGTTTGCTATGTTGATGTAATTCACTAATGCTTGTATTACATTTTCAGTTTGATTTGTCCCAGATGTGGATACAATGCCAGATTTTAATACGTGCAGTGTAAATGAATTCAAACAATACTGTTAAAATCTTAATCTTCCTGCACATTCCTAAATCCTTGTATACTACTTAAGATATTAGACTTTTTTTTCAGCCTCTTTTATCTTTGTCTCAAGATTCCTTCAGCAACAATCCATCTAAGGTGCTTCAGGTTGCAGAACTGTCACCTCTATGTCAAAAGAAAGTGGGGAGAGTATTGCAGTAAAATACGCATACATGCTTAGTTACTTTCACTTGTGGGTAGAAAAACGTCTTATAAAAAAAGTAGTGCTGCAGAAAAATGTAAGAAAAAAGAAAGAAGCACAGCATTCAACAGGACTAGTCATGGAGGTATACAGGTATATATTAAGTTTTGTTATATGAATTGCAAGGAGTTTTTTTAGAGAACCTAAAAATACATCCATACATCTCAGCTACAGTTGTGCTTCTGATCAACACTTTTACTACATTCAGTATTTTTTTAAATAAAGAAATATTTCCTTGCTTAATTTACTCATGATATTGTTGGAAACCAGGAGGTGTGACTTGCCTTGAATAGTAGGTGGTGGAAGGAGGCATCTAAAAAAAAACATCTCATTGCCAATGCCACTGTTATTCCGGGGCATAGAATAGTATAAACACTTGAAAATAAAGTTGAAAAACTTGGCTAGACAAGTATAGAAACAAATTTGCAAATGGCTCTGGCTTTTACAACAGAAATCTCTGGATATTACACTGGGTAGTAATGTAGAACCAGAACTGCCAGCTAATTGGTTTCTATCCCTATGTAGCTGAGCATCTGCTATTTTTTTAAGTGTTTGTGACTGCTCTAAGAACATGGGATTTAACACAATGCAAAATAGCAATGATCCAGCTCATTCAATACTGACCTACTACTAGATGCTTCACAGAAGAAAAGCTACACTACTGTGCCTAACCACCACTGCATTATCCAAGTATGAAGCTTTCAAAGAGAAAGCAAGATGAGTTTAGGCATGGTCAAAGAAAAAAGCAGTTAGAGAAAGCTGAAGCATCTAATATCTCAAATACTTTCTGTAGTTCAGATAAGTGGTAAAATGGTCCACCCTGGTAATCAGCCATGAAGAACTCCAAATCCTGACCAGCTGTGTGATCCTGCATCTGTTTGTGTTAGTACTTATTGGTGAAAAGGGAATGAATTTCCAATTTTCTTCCTTTTGCCAATATCAAAGAGGTAATTTTTGAGTCACAGGAGAATCTAAATATTCACTGAAAGTCCTGCTGATGTTCATTTGGTACTAGGCTGCTACTGAGGACACTGATTTCCTGTCAAGGAAAGTTAGAAAGCATTTGTTTACCCAGTCACGTCCAACAGCTCTCTCCAGGGTCTCATCTTCTATAGCTCACATCTTCAAGAGTATGGAAACATCTTTTGCTTTATATATTGGTTTTCCAAGATTTCTGTTGGATCTGTCACTACTGACAGTGATGAGCTGTTTGAAATTATGCTTTTTATGAATCCTTACTCCATACATAAATGTAGCCTCCCTTGCAAGGTCCAGGAGACAGATGACTATAACAAAATATCCCAGTTTGGAAAAACACTTATTCTGGAATATTTCTGAAATTAAAAGGCTATATCAGAAATTGGCAAGTACAAAGATCTTCTGAACATGTAATTGGACTTAAGGGTTAAATAATTTAAGAACTACTGCTGCCTACCAACCAGAAACTTCCTACTGCCAGCAGCTGTCTTACTATGAAATCAGTGAGGGCTCAGGATTTTATCTTTCTAAATGTACATAAAACCATATTGTGTAGGTACTAAATTCTGCTTTCAATTTCTCCAGTGTAACCATGGAATTACTCCAGCAAGCTGTGTAACTCAGAACAGAAATTGCTCACCTGTATTTATTGCAAGGGCCACCACGTGTAGACATACGATGGTTTTCAAAGGATCATAAATGTTTTCTAAATAACATTTATCATTGTGAAACTATCTCTATTACCTTACTGAAATACTGCCAAGCATAGAGAAGGACTGTCTGAGAGTGACCAACAGCATTTTACCATAGAACTGCAGAAAAGAACAATTATGTATCCATTTTTTAAACTGTGGCATGTACATCATCAAGATATATTTAAAGCTACCTATAAAGCAAATTTGAGAAAAGCTGGTCAGAAATCTTTTTTATAAAAATAGTTAAAAATTAACAAGAATTTTAGACTTAAAAAACCTGGAGAAATAGTCTATTTTTCAAAATAAAACAGAGTGGTAAAATACATTTTTTTTTCATTTTCGTTTTCAGAACAGGACATGTTTTGAAAGCAAAGAAGCTCATTTTCCATTTTTAAGACACTGGAAATTCAAGCTATTTCAAAATGAAAATCAGAAGTATATATATAAAGAATCTGGTTTTAATTATTTTCAATTTGTTAAAGTTGTTCTATAAATATGTGCACTTTTGACCCCCTGTCAGAGGTTTCCTAATGCTCTAACCTTGGACCAAACTGACCAGTCCAGTTACACTGAAGTCCATGGTATCCCAAATGTCAAAAGCAGCTCAGCTTGATCTGAATTCTTTCTCTTCATCAGATAGTAATACTCCAAGATCAGAACTGGATACTAAGAACTAAAACAAATTCATATGACATTGTTCTTACCATCAGAGTCCTCCTGCTCAGGGTTGTATCTGAGGCGACAATTGTCCCTGTCATCTGGGACACCATCATTGTCATCATCAGGATCACAGGCATCTCCTTTACCATCTTTATCATGGTCAGCCTGGTTAGCATTGGGGATGTAAGGGCAATTATCCTGGTTGTTCTGGTGGCCATCTTCATCTATGTCCTCATTGTTGTCACACTGGTCACCAACAAGGTCATTATCTGCATCAGTCTACCCCCAAAAAATGTGAAGAGTAAATTTATTATTGTTACTTAACACAGGTATGGATAGCCTGGTACTTTATTTCTCAACACCTCTCTTCAAGGACTTCTCTGGAAACAAGTGAAATCATGATGACAACCGTGCTTAAAGCAGAAATGTAACTTTAAGCTAGTATGGCTACTTATTTTGCTATCAGTGCACATGGTCTGGTCCTCAGGACATTTCTAGGGCAGGTCTTCGGCCACAATCTTCATTTCTCTCATTCTAGAGATCACAGGGGAGTGTCAGTCTGAGCAACAAATTTTCTAATTGCTTCCATATTCTTGATGTTACTGCACGTGTTATCAACAAACTTAGGCATACCAAATGCATGCCTGAGGCTGTACTCACTTGCCATGGGGCAAGAACACAGTTCACCAAAGGCTTGAAGATGAATTAAAGGCATCATCACTCTATTTCCCTTTCATCTGATACAAAGAGATCTGACAAACTGAGATGTGAAAATGAGCAATACAGATCCACCTCTCAAGCTCTACAGTAAGGAGAGAGTTATAGCAATTCCTGTGTTCTCTTCTCTGCCCTTGTTCTGATGTTACCATTAATGAAACTGTACCTAACATTTACCTGGTCTGGATTATGCATCAATGGACAGTTATCACACTGATCACCAACTCCATCACCATCTGTATCACTCTGGTCTGTGTTATAGACGTAAGGACAATTATCTCGTTCATTAAAAATGTCTATGAGGAAAAAAACAAAACATTAAAGAAACCAGAATGATATAGCATCCTGCACAGACAGCCACAGGCTGTAGGACTCACTAGTAAAGAAGAAAGGCACAAAGGGGTTCATAGGTTTTCTGACTGCTACAACATTATTGCTGTAACATGAAATAGTTAAAAGACTAATATTAGAAAGAAAAATCATAGTATCAATTCCACTTTTCTTGCTATGATAAAGACTTCTATATGCATTTTCCTGAGGAATTTTGCTAGAGTAAGGGCTGATTACATCTTTGGAATTTAGCCCTTTTTCACAGAACAACGGATAAAGGTGCAGGGTATTTTTCTTTAAAAAAAAAGTCTAATTTCTATTTTCTTCCCACACTCTAAGAAATGACATAGAATGCACAGCTATATCATGGTGGAATTTCTGAAGAGTTTTGTACAGGACCAATTGTCTTAATGTTCATCTGCCTCAGCACTAAATAATTAAATTTTACCAGAACATCTGCATCTTTTATTGTACAGCATGCCAAAGTTTCAAAAGAAACTATTGCTCCTCAGGAAACTTTATTATAAAACCAACGATGTCCTTCAAAATTATAATACTTTGAAAAGAAACAAGACATGTTGGCACATCTGTTTGGAAAGAATTCAAGGATCCTTTCCTGAATTATATGGTCTCTGGATATTTGCATAGTCTTTCAGCCAATAATATATGATTACATTTTTTTCAAATGCAGAACTACCATGAGTACTACTAAGAACCTGATCATCAAAAGGACAAGAAGACTCCAGAGTTTTAAAATGTTACTGGAGGAAATCCAAAATTAGATTTCTTCAACTTCTAGTACTTCTGGATTCTCATAAACTTGAAAAGCTGCAGGGATATGATTTCTGAAAGACATTTAAGTGCTTTTCCCCCTCCTTAAATCTAATCAAATCTGAGACACATAGGCATGTAGTGGTAGATGAAATAAACACCTCTAATAATATTTAAGACACATAAAAAATGTGTATTTGGATTAATGTGGGCTTTGCATTACATTCATAGAAAAGCAGATTAATCGCCTACAGATATTGTCTTAACCGCACGGATGTTCTGATGTTCTTTTCCCTCCCTAAAAACAAAAATAAAAGTCAACAGAAGTGTTATATTAGACCCTGATTACTTTGGAACACAAGTGAAGGAAAGAATTTGTTTTAAGATTACACTGATAAAAGACTTGCTGTGATTTATTCTTCAATAATATCCATTCTAGTCATTTAGGGACTTTATGGACAACTACATTACCCAGGACAGATGAACCTCAGTCTTCTCTTTCTTCTGAATTTTTGAGCTGCTAGACTCAATTTTATTCCATACATAAAAGCAGGTAGTCCATTTACTGGACATAAAGAAAAGCCTACTTGTGGAATAACACTTAATTCTCAAGACTGAAAGCATACCATCTCCATCAATATCCACAGCACATGAGTCACCCTCCCCATTATTATCTGTGTCAATCTGAGCAGGGTTGTGCACATAGGGGCAATTATCACAGCGGTCACCAACTTCATCCTTGTCATAATCAAACTGACGAGGGTTGAACAGAAGAGGGCAATTGTCCTAATAAGAAGAAATAGAAGATTTTAGAATATAAATCACAATTCGTGAGATCAAACTATGAAGTGGTAACTCTTCCTGTTCATCTTGGATAGAGGCCAAAAATCAAAATATTAATCCACTGTTTTTTCAATGGACAAAGCTGTACCTACACCAAAGATCTTGGTGCTAACAGGATGGTATCTGCATAGCATGGATCATTGGCTTTTTGCAATTTTTTTACAAGGCATGAAAAATGTGTTCTATATCTCACTAGGAGAGCAACAGGCACTTTTAAACCGCATCTGTACTCAGATATTTCAACAAAAGTGTATCACTGGTACATACATTTTTTTAAAAGACCAGAAAGCGTTGCAAAATCAGGCCAACTTCCGCTGTGTATTATATCTTTTGGAAAAACTAAAACTGTTACTCTGACTTCTTTGGAACAAACTATTATCAATATTCTCACTTTTGAACCACATATTTTGATTCTTTAAATTAAACAAGGATTAACTTTGTTGTGGGTTGTGTTATATATTACATGTCATAACAAAATGCAAAAAGTTTCAAAAAACAAAGTTAAAAATAAATGCTCTTATTGACCCAAAATATTCTTTCCCTGAGACCACTCCTTTTAGTAGAATTTTGAAAATTTTGTTTCAGTTTAGTGCTTAATTTTAAAGTTTGCCATAACAAGAATTCTTGTGTTTCACATATTCACACATTATAGATGGCCTCTTGCACAGGCATGGGGAAAGCCAGTGTGGAAAGCAAAGAAGAATGAAACTAAACCAAAGCTGTGGAGTGATGGATACATCAGCATCATGGAATCTGAAAGGAGGCCATATGGAAAATATTGTTAAACTACTTTTCCTCTGCTAAAGCAAAAACCATTTACTAGGAAATAATTTTTTTAGCAGAACATTTTAAATTCCTCATAAGTATATTTTATATACTGAAGGACAAGATATAGAGGCAAGTCAGAATTTTACACTGCTCATAAAACAACTTCTGGCAACAATTTTTCAAATACATGTATTAAATAATACTTTATCAAATGATCTTTTCAGTTTTGAAATATTCCAAACAGAGGCTCCATGAAAACTGTTCTAACCCACCTTTAACCATCTAAACCTCTAGAGCATCTAGGCTCCCTCTGAAGGAAACAAAGAGGAACCATAAATTCCTAAAACCAATTCACTCATCCTAACTGTTCAGAAAATGCAGGGTGAAGCTGACTCTGGAGGTTCCTCTGTCCTTTTGCTGAATGCACAGGGAGAAGGGGTTTAGACTAACTACCTGTCTTTTAGGGTCTGCAGATAAATGAATTTCAGCCTTGTGGGCAGATCTAAAGGAGGAAAGTATGAACCAAGCTAGGTACTTTCCTTTTATCATATCCTCTTGCTTCTGGCTGTGTTTATAGTTATTATTATTCATCATAACTTGTTTCCAACATACGTCAGATATAACATTTACCAGCTTCTCAAATACAATGGACTGATCAGTCTTCCACAGCAAAATAAAAAATCCAATACTACTTTCCATTAAACTGTTCTCATGCACACAACTGAACCCAGAACTGATACAAAGAGCATAATTCAGTCCCATGTTCCCCAGGCTGCTTTGCTCTGCACAGTGCTACTCTCATTTGACCCAATGCAGCCTACTCTGCACCAGATATCATTCAGGAAAGGCAGTGCAGAATAACTCAGCTAAAGCTCTGAACTATAAGGCTCTCATCTATTATAACCAGATGTTTAGGTCAAATGGCTGAATTCACAGAAACGCATCTTACTTTGTCATCTTCGACACCATCGTTGTCATCATCCTCATCACAGGCATCTCCTTTGCCATCTTTATCAAAGTCTTCTTGGCCAGAGTTAGGCAGGAGGGGGCAGTTATCCTGGCCAAAAGAAATAATCAATACATTACGTTTACGTTATGTCAGAATGAATTGCCTGGGCAGAAGAGTAGATATGGTACACCAGACGCTATTAAACAAGAACATTCAATCACAAATACATTTTAAAGTGCCTGTTTGTGTGCTGCCAAAGATAGTAGTTCATTTGCTGCTTTCTTATTGTAAAGTAAGTGAAATGCATCTGCAAATCATTCTGTTTTCCAGCTCTCCTTCTTTTAAAGGGATGTTTCCAGTAAATTTTAGATGAAACTATCTAGCAGAGAACAAACACACCACACGCACACACATGCACTCTTATATCAACTTTTTATAGGCAACTCATGAAATATGTTTGAAGATTATATATAAAATGACCAGGTTTGGTTGCCAGAAAAATAAAGATACAAGCCAGGACATGAGTCTTCAGAAATAGTTGATCACGTGGAAAATTATTGGAATGAAGTAGTGCACAGCAATGAAGGAGAACACTGCAAGAAAGTGTTTTGAAAAACGTGCCTTTCTACAGTTCTGCAAAACAGTTCCTTTGCACTCCTGTGCTCCTATGGCTTTGAAAATAAAAGGCAAATGTATCTCTTTATTATGTGTCACAGCTTTGTAAAGAATGATTATTTTAAATGAGCAAGTCTTAGGTTACACTGAAAAAATAAGAAGTGAAATAGTTTGCCAAACATTTAACCTGCATTCCTTTTTAAAATACTAAAATTAGCTAAAAATTGATTTCAATTTTACTTGCTAAGAATAAATATATGTATAAAACCCCATTCTGTTATTCTCACTTTCTCACATTCTGGATCTACCTCAGACCAAAACTGAATCTGCCAATGTTACATTTTTGTAACACATACTCTAAGAAAATGAGTACTATAGTAAGATTCCTAGCCCTTTTTTCAATCTCAAAGATTCTAATAGTACAGATAATTCAAGAAAAAGGAAACTGGAAAACCTGTGATAAATATCAAAACCTCAATGCAACTCCAAATCTTTTATGGCACTTTTTTACCAAATACTTGTGAACAGCCTTCACTGTCCGACTCAACACTGGTTACCAGTGATACAAAAAAAAAATATTTCTTGAAACAGTGAAATAAATTAATTGAAACTTGCTCAATCACTTTGTATGTTTCTATCTATTATGTTTTTCTGTCTGCCTATATAGTCTACAGATTTGAGTCCAGTTTCATACAAACCAAGTAGTAAGGTGGAGACCTCATGGGTAGCAAGTTCCTATAAACTTTGCAAAAAGAAGCAGAGGAGAGAGATCCTACCACCACTCTCTAAAAGTCTCTTATTAGATATTAGAAAGAAGACTTATTAGACATTGCACCTTCCATTTGGGAACTCAACCTTGAGGCACAAACACACTGGAAACTAGGCTTCTTTGGTTCAGCTATTGACAAAGCTGTGTGTTGGTATAATAATCCTTATGAAAAAAAATGCTACTTTCATGTGAATGAAAAATAAATTCACACTGAAATATATTCCTGAGATTTTATTTTTATTATTATATAAAACATGCTTTATTCATATAGCTTTGCTTAGACAGTAAGTTAATTTTCAACCATTATCAACTCAAGGAAAGAAGCTTTGGTTTGCTTTTTTAAAATCAAATTACTCAAATAGAATATTTCATAATCAATATAAGGACCTGAAAATACCTGGTATTTTCAAGCAGGTTTTTTGGAGAAGTGGGGCATCCCCTTACTAAGTACTTGTGTCTATTATATTGACACATATATCATAGAAACCATCAATCAACCTTTGGAAACAGTTTGGGTTTTTTCTGAATGGGTTCAACATGTTGGGTTTTTAATGAAAACAAATCATTTTTGTTACATCTTGAGTCAACATGTTGCAGATTCTGATGACAGGAACCAGAAAGAACACATGAACTGCAATTGCTAAATTGGCTGGATCCACAATGAACAGACATCAGCTACAGTGAGGAAGATCAACATTTGAAGCTCAAATTTCCATCAATGTCTGAAACTCACAGAATCACAGAATATTAGGAGTT